CTATTAAAGTTGGGGGGGAAGGCATTTGAAGGACTGCTTGTCCAAAACTGGGACTCCCACAGTGGAGATGAGATTTCTTTTATGCGCTCAGGAGGGGATGTGGTCCGGTACAGAGCACCCTACTTGGGTGTTGCTGAGTCCCACATGTAGCGGTTGTCAGTTTCTCTCTTAGCATAAGCACTCCCTTCAGTGCCCTCCTGAGCGTATAAGCGCTGTGCCTCGCTCTGTGAGCTATGGATCAAGTTTTGTGAAGTACATGCTACGTGCTATCTGTTCCAGACTAAAATCCGAGTGAAAGGTAAACAGAGCGCTGTACGACGAGGAAGAAAAGAAAACCGCATCACAATCAACGACTACAAAGGATGGATATAAGTCTCATGTCCCATGTGCTATTCGATGTGTACTTTGCCCTTCTGACTCTATTGTGTATGTTTCTTTTCGTTCCGTCTCAGGGAAGATTTGTTGGTAGAGATAGCCTCATTTTTGAGCGTCAATATGATATTGATGTCGTTATTTCGATTCTGTAACGTTTTATAGACAGGTATTTGCCTGCCTGAATATTATACTTTTTCAGATTGTTTACGTTGTTTTCTAGTTAATCCTGTCTTGTTTTTTGTTTTGTTATTGGTTTTCTGTGATGCGAATGAATATACCCGTATAAAACCCATTATTGCATTGTTGGGAGTTGTGTTTCTCCAGTTCATATGAAGTACAATGTTGTTTCATTAACATTTATCTCCCAGAAAGTAAACTAATCATTTTAGGGGTTTACTCGTCTGTGCAAAAATTGCTTCCGACATGAAGGTGGGTATACATGGGTGTTTTTATGTCATGATAGTCTGGCACGGTCCACTGTGATCGTATGGGCGGAGCCAGGCCTTCGACTCCGTTCAACTTGTTGGTGCGCCTCTCTTCTCTAGATGATAGGAAGGGGAGACTCGCCAATAAGGATGATGCAGTGGTGGACCTAGCTCCGCCCACACAATCAACTTGGGCTTGTCTTTATTGTTATGGATGTTTTTTAAACCCGATGTGATCCTGGGTCTAGTTCAGCACGTCTGAGTGGCGGTATTAGCGAAGCGTTCCCTAGCTAGTTGACTTGGCGTTGCAGCATTACCTATAAGTATTGGAAATATGGCTTAATCAAAGGTCGTGATGGCGACTTCATGCGAACGTAACGCATCGCCTCCTTTATCCGCTTCGCCGTCTCCCCCCCCCCCCCCCCCTCGTAATGTGCTGAACTACAGCCGCTTGACGCCTGGACACACAGTGTGTTGCAATCGCCGCGTTCAATTCATACCTACTTTCTCTCGGAAACTGCGTGCTATACCTTCCGCACCGCGGCACACCAAGAAGCAAGATGGGAAGGTGGTCAGAAGATCCGAGTTGCGGCGATGCGTCACCTCCGCGGCATGATGGTCTGATTGATCTTGGTCAGGTTTTCGTCTTCGCTCCAGACCGTGTTACGCGCACGATCAAGCAACAGCACTTGCGGTTTCACCCGTCTTCGCAATTCGGATCTCCTGACCTACGTCCTGTACTGGTGCACTATATTTGGATGCAATCTATAGAATAGATTGGTGTGCTGCTGTGTGTGGCCAAGTTATAGTCTTGTCTTAGATGCTGGGGTTTGTCAGGGGGAGGGGGAGGGGGTTTGGGAGTAGGTTCGCCCGAACGCCAGAACGCTTTTCATGAACTGATATAGCTTACCCCACTTCAACAGTTGACGCGCCTCAGCATCCACACCCAATATGACTCCTGACTTCCCTCGGGGTCCATAAGAATTTAGCGTATCATATCAGAACTGCCGATAAGCGTTCCTCGTGGTGCACATATCGCTGAAAGATCGTGCCACGCGCCGCACATGTCAGCGGGTCAGTTTATGTTATTGTTCCCCTTATCGCATGCTCATCGATGAATAGTCCTCATTTTCAAGGCTTTTTTGTTTTCGAAGGTTACTGTGGAAACTGTTTTACTTTTGTGAGGCCCTGTAACTTTTCCTGGGTTCCGACCTTTTCACCGTTGCCCCGAGGCTGCTATTTGTGGAGTATTGTCTTTAATAACAGTACAACAACACGTTACACTATACCCCAACAGGGTAAATTTCTCTGGAAGGTGGGGTAGAGTGTGGTCAGCTCGTTGCAGTAAATTTTTTCCTCGACCGGTAATTGACTTAGGCGATCAGTCGCTCTAGCTTACCAATATAAGTTACGGGTAGGGGTGAAGCAGACTTTATCGCATGAGGATGTTGTTGTGGGTCTGTCTTTTTTAATCCCACGTAAAATCGGCTTTTGAACGGATTCCAAAACTGTTTTTGCCGTCATGAGGCATTCAGCAAACAGTCTGTGACCATCGATCAAGGTGTTATCAGTAATGCTGACTAATGCTGACTGACCTGTCCTTGATGGAATTATAGTGGTATCTGTCCTGTCCACTCTCTCTCGCGTTACGAGTGGTTGTGATTTATTTTTTGGTTACTTGTGGTATAGTATAGTGTTTATGTGGTACTGGTCGGTGTATTGGGCAATTTTGACTACTCTGAAAAAGTGGTATACTTTCGAGTGGTTTAATTGGCTTGTCGGAAAAGTTTCCGGAGTCCTTTTTCATACGCTCAACTTGCTGATTTCTTGATTTTTAGGGTTGATTTTGATGATATAGTATAGTTCAGCTGGTTTTGTTATTCTAGACAATATCTCGGATCAGCATCGTCTGATGAATTGTACCTAATGCGTCGATTGATGTTCACATTAGAGCTTGAAATAGCGGATATGAATGTCTTACAGTGCGCGCTCTAATGAATGGATTGAACCCTCGTACTTACATTAAAAATTGTCCAGTGCTGTAATTTAAGTTATGTTGTTCTAATGTTTTCTGTGTTTTTCTAATTTTTATTCATACAGGACATGGCTCAAGGGAACGCATACATTCCGGACGATTTTGAGGCGAGTGACTGTTTTGTGGTGCAATTTTTTTCCTTAAAAACGATCGAGGTGCAGTTTGACGACAGGGGGGGGCATTTTGCACTTTCGCTACTTCCCATCGACGTGTCGACCTATCTAGGCAGCCTCTTCTCGAGTTGACAGGTTTTACCATGATGGCTAGATGAGCTTGCTCCAGCTTCACAAGAGTTCACAGGTTTCGCCAGAGTGAGACTTGTAAACCGGAACTAGGGAAGCAATGATAGTACAAAATGACCCCTGCGCCAACGATCGGCGCTATTTAGCCTTGTAGGGCATTTTGCACTTTCGCTAGTTTCTTTTGCTAGGCCATGTTAACTAACAGGTCCCACTCTAAGACCTGTGAAATTTTGCGAATGGCGAAAGAGAACCACCGTGGTGATAAAAATAT